TTTCAAGTGACCTCAGAGAGATGACGCTTTGTATAAGCTTTCGCTCTCGTGTACAGGAACGATATAAAATTACCAAGGTTCTTCGAACATCGTGGGCGTGTATATCATCTCTCTCTCTCACACTCTCTCGCTCTCATTTTCTCTTTCTCTTTCTTTTTTTATTTTCTTCTTTTTCTTTTGCGGTAACAGGAGGTCGCCTTAAATGGTGTACTAGTTAAATCGTTTTCCTTTTAAAAACATACATACAATACGTCTACATACAATATTGGTAAAAGTAAACAAGAAGTGTTTTTCTCTCGGTAGCACGTGTCTATACTCTTAATCCCATTGAATGGTCGTCTGTTCCATTGAAGGTGTCTTGGATATTCGCATTGCGTATGCGCAGGGTTGACATGTTTCTCTTTATCGAACATTAGCCTCTCTCTCTTTCCTTCTCTCGTTTTTCTTCCATTTATTTTTTCCTCTCTTTTCATTTTTTTTTTTTTTTTTTTAGTAGTAGGAGGCTATGGTTTCAACATTTTTTTTTACATAGAAATCAATTAAGGATTATTATATTTTCGCAATTTTATTGTTAACAAATATATTTTATTGTTAGAGAAATAGAATTTGACATCAATTATAAGAAAATTGATCTTAGAAGATTATTCATACCTTACACAAGATATAATAAAAATACAATTAATACTTTTTACTACTTTGTAATTTACAATACCTATTGAAATAATTATGAATACTCTGGCTGAAATGAATTGTTTTGTCATATATTTATAATTAAAGTTTTCTTACAATAGAATGATTTTTAGCAGTTAAATTTTTACATCGATTTAAAAGATAAATAATTCTAAAATATGTTTATATCTATACAAAAATTTGGAAAAGTTGCGTTAGAAGTTAATATTAATTGATTACAATTGACAGTGGGATAGGAATATTTCTATGACTCATTGTATATACATACACATTTATAAAATAAGTGTATATATGCACGGGTAAATGTATAATCAATAAGTTATTTTTCTTAATAACATGTGCCTATAATCTCGATCGCTTACGATTAAAAATAAAAATCATGTTCGAACGGTGCAAAAAATAGGATTACGTATTAATCGTACGTGGGTATCCTCTTTGTGACATTTCAAACTTTCTATTTTTCTTCTTTTTTTTCTTCTTTCTTTTTAGCTTCTACTCCTCTTTTATTTTTTTTTTTTTTCGAATTTCGCGCAGGTGATCGTAATAAAAGGTGGTCGAGAAAGAGAAGGATTAGATGAAGAAGAAAGTGAAAGAAGTGAAGGAGAAGAAGTATATCCGGTAATCAAATTCAGTGCATCCATAAATAGTTCTCGACATTTAATTGTCAAAGATGTAAAGAAACGTTTTTAAGATCCACAATAATTATTGATAGGGTTCATTTACTATTTACATAATAATCTTTTATCTATCGTAAATAAGAAATCATTCCGATTATCTAAATTTGTATGTTTAATACTTAAATGTCTCATAATTGATTGATTAATCAAATTATAGGTAGAGAGAAAAAAAGAAATAAAGAGAAAATAGAAACAAATATTTATCTCTATTATTATTATATTCGTTAAAACATTTATCTGCATTTATTTTACATATGTGTACATAATATACAGGAACGTGCGTCATTGTGCATACAGTGTTTTTATGGCGAAGAGAAATAGAAAACAAAATCCATCCCCAGTGATGAACAATGATTCGATTTCTCTAAAGAGGAAAATGCATGGCTAAAGGATGGAAAGAGAGAGAGAGAGAGAGAGAGAGAGAGAGAGAGAGAGAGAGGACAAGAAGTGTAGAGTGGTTTGCTGCGTGTGTATCGATTGGGGACGCGGTTCGCCGACGAGACTAGCCTACATTCAACCCCCTTCCTTTTCACCCCTTCTCTATCACCCTCTCTCTCTCTCTCTCTTTCTCTCTCATTCTATTATTTTCACCCTCTTTCTCTCTCTTTCTTTTTCTCTCATTCATTTTCTTTCTCATTCAATCTTTCTCTCTATTTTTCTCTCTTTCTCTATCTTTCTTTCATTCTTGTTATCTGTCACTCCTTCACCCGCACATATTCTCTCTCTCTTTTTCTTCTTTATATTTTTATATTTTTTTTCTTCTTTCTTTGCAGTAGCACAGGAGGTTGTCGAAAATGACGTACTAGTTAAATCGTTTCTGATACAGATATGCTTAAATGTATATTTTCACTCGCTACAAGGTACAATAGAAACAAAATTACACCCTTATAGAGTAAAAAATACTGACTAGCTTTAAAAAAATCCATAAAAAGTGACCACCCCTATAAGAAATTTTGATGTCTACGATAATACCTCTTTTTAAATCAATCAAAGTATATCTTAAACAGTTTTTTCATATTTTATCAAAAGAAAAGAAAATATTTATGTAGTTTCCTTTAAAACTGGGACACCTTTTATATGCACGGGTAAGAATATTACAATTGTTTTTCTCTCGGTAATACGTGTCTAAACTGTTGATTGTGCATGATTATAACTAAAAATTAAGTTCGAAGTGTGGGTAAGATAGGATTACATAATTAATCGTTTATGAGTATCCTCCTCTTAATATTTCGAGCATTATCCTGTTTTTTCTCTTACTCTATTCCTTTCTCTCCCTTCATTTTTTCCTATTTTCACTCTCTCTCTCTCTCTCTCTCTCTTTCTCTTTTTCTTTCTCCGCATTCTTTCTGTCTCTTTTTATTTCTCTCCTTCTCTGTTGCACTGACAATCAGTAACAACGTGAGAGAACTGCCACGGTTACCCCCTCTTACCCTTCGAAACCTTGAGTCCTCATTCAACGTTTCCTCCTTTCAGCTTTTTCCTCCCACCAAGGCACCCCATTCGAGCCCAACTCTTCGACTACTACGCGCGCAGGATCGAACCAAATGGAAGAAGAAAGAGAAAGATAAAAAAAAAAAGGGAATTTCCGACGGTTTACCAAGAGGGGATGAATTATCGAGCGAAAGGGTGGAGGTGAGTTCTTTCCTTCCCTCACGATCGAAACAGGAATTTCTTGTTCGATCATCCTACTGTGTGTAGTAGGATTTCCCTAAAAACTTTAATCATGGACTTTACCCTTCCTTCTGCCATCATACATTTATTCTAAATGTATCTAATACATTGATTTTTGATCAATATTCAATTGTTTAATATTATTTAATCCTATTATTTAATTTTACATTTATTAATCCTATATAACTTTGACGTCATACGTTTATAAATACGTATTTGTATTTTTCAAATATTATCTCATTTTATCAGCGCATTGAATTAATCTTTCAATTATAATATATGAAGTTTGTCGCGCGCGTTTTGTTTATGTCTAGTAATAAGTTATATTTAATATATCGTGTAGTCTGAGAGATAATATTTTTATTATTATACATATTTGTTAAAAATAATATTACAATTTTTTATTTTATATACATTTTTCTTTATATATATATATATAAAATTATAAAAAGATAGAATCGATAGGAAGAGTCCATGTTTAAACTAATCTAATATTTTCTTCTTTATTTATTATCTATTTCCATTATTTTGTATTATTTTTCTTTTTTTAGAAAACAAACATTTATTTTTCTGATCAAATAGATTTGTGTTATTTTAATACGAATTAAGGGTACTACGACTTTCCTTGAATCTATTATAGTCGAATTTTTTTTCCATAATTACACAAGAATTAAATAAACAAATATTTACTTCTAATTACAAATGTGAAACATTATCAAAGATAAATTTACTCCCATATTTCAAACTAGGGTTTATAATCGACATAAATAAAATCTTAACTAATAAAAATTATTAAATATTATATGTGCGCCACATAGGAGAAGAAAATTAGATTAAAAAAATAATATTCACTTATTGGTGTGTAACTTGTGTGAAAATTACACAGGCCCATAGAGGGTTTAGAGTCACGGCGAAGCTCGAAATTCCATTCAATGTTTCCCCACTTTCAAAGGTACATTTTAGTACCTTTCTCTTTTTTTTCTCACGTATGCAATTCCATCGTAGTATGAGAGACAAAAGTGGAGGTAAAAAAGGGATAAAAAGGATAAGGAGAAGAAGAAGAGACACGAGGGGTTTCTCTCTGAGATGATCTAACATTTTAAAGATAAATGTCATCGACTTCTTCCTTTATAAAATACTTATCCCTATCTCTCTCTCTCTCTCTCCTTTTTCCTTTTTCTCCGAAATTATCTTTTCCCATGAGAAAATAGAAAAATTTCAAAAAGCATCTGCTTTTAGTAAGTTTCACTTTATTTAATGTTTAAATTTTATTAATATACATTTACCGTTATCCATCCCCCCGTTCTATTCAATATGCAAATCCTTCTATATATTTTTTTTTCCATTAAGTATTTATAAGAAATCGAATATAGAAAATAAATATATATATATATATGTATAATTGTTGTAAATATTATTTATATAAATTATTTATTTGTGATATTTATTTTGTATCCATCATAATTAGCATAGCTTACAAACTAAATTCATATATAAGAAATAAAAAAAGAATCACTTGATCTATCATAAAGATTAAAAGATAAAATTAGTTTAAATAATAAAAAGAAATATTATAGTAACATCCCGTCGCGGTTCTAGGTCACGCAAAAAAAAATGTATCCACGCCACATACAATCCCCCTACGATACTTGTATAGCAAACTACCCCCGAAAAAAATCACTCATTCGTCGCATAAATAAAAAATAAAAATAATAAATCTATAAAAAAGAAAAAGAAGAAGTATAACGAGATAAAAAAAATGTTAACGCAAATCATGCGAGAATATTTAAAGGAAGCTTCGGCATATAAGAGATCTTGTCGTTAGGTGGTAGCAGCGTACTCGAAGGGGTGGCAAAAGCGAGGCCACGACACTGTATCGAAAGGGGGGTTAGCTCGTATCCGTGTCACGAATGCGCGCGTCTGCAATCCACCTCCTGCTACCCTCCACGGCCACCATCGAAAGAGGTGAATGCAGTTGGCCATCATTTTACAACCCGTTCGGACGCCATTCAGATGCGTTCGATGGAACTGGCAGGTTGTAACGCGCGAGTCACCATCGACTCTGCATCATCTTTACCATTATTATTATCATCATCATTATCATCGTCATCATCATCATTATCATCATCGTCGTTGTCGTCGTCGTCGTCGCTTTTGTCGTCGTCGTCATCGTCATTTTCGTGGTCATTATCATCGTCGTAATTTTCTTCATCGAAATCCCTTCGTTCGGCGTTTATTGTCAACATGGGTAGTGGAATCGAGTGACGATCGAATTATTGAACACGTGGAAAAAGAAAGAGAGAGAGAGAGAGAGAGAGAAAGAAAGAGAGAGAGAGAGAGAGAAAGAGAAAAGTCTAAGGTACGAGACTACAAATGAATCATTCTTATTTTTTCTTGAAATAAATGAAAAATTGATCTGTTGATTATTTTATATTTTCATTTTATATTGTATCTTGTCAAATTAAAATCATGTATTCTCACGTGTTTATATTTATATTTTTTAATAATGTTTTAATTATTTGTCATATTTTTTTTTCTTTCATTTTCTTAGATTTTAATTTTATATTATATATCATATAATTTTTAAATAACATATATATTTATGTATCTTCATTTTTGTTAGAAAAACATTATAATTACTTCATGTAACAAAAATGATTCAATTTCTTTTTAATTTTGTAACAGTAAGTATAAATCAGGTTTAAGTGTTTATGATTAGTGTAAGTTAATTACGAGACAAGGTATTATTAATCATACATTTCATATCCTTTTTATTTTTAAGGATTTATATATATTTTGTATTCTTAAATATAATTTCAATCATTGGATAGTTAATTTTTGATAAAACTAATCAAATATTATATTTACGTCCTCGAAAAAGACTTTTATTTGTCCGAGAAATTTTCATTATTTTTTAAACTATTTTTTATAGTAATAGAAAAAAAAAAGGTAGAAAAAGATTGAAAAAAAAAAAAAAAATAGAGATCATTGACTTTGCGATTACGCGATGTCATTCTTCCGAACGGAAGTTAAAGATAACTCGGATAAGCCGACAATCCGGATAAAAATGTCGATGATAAAAGAATCAAGCTAGATAAAATTCATATTTTATCGAAACGTGGTAAGCTTTGAATTTTTTTATTTCTTTTATCGATGTTTAAGCGTGAAGAACACAGCTCGTTCACACTTTCTTCCGATATTCATGAATGACTCGTACTACCGCACTTCCGCCGATTAAAGTAATCCTCTTTTTATTATAGATCGATTAAATAATTCGATTCGATTATTATATAGCCATGATATCAATTTTATATATTTAATATAAAAAAACATAGACATTATTTTAAATATATTAATTAATTATTATTTAATTTTAAATAAATTGTGTGTTTATGTTATTTATAAATAATACAATTGTGTTTATTCGGTGTTCTACATTATTTTAATATTAAATATTTTATTTTGACTTGATATCAAATTTATATTTTTAAATATAAAAAGAAAATTATTTTTAATAACATAATATTTGAAATATAAATTATTCTAATGAATAATGAATTAATTTCAATCAAAATTGTATGTTTCTTTTCAGAGATATCAGAAAAAGGATTCGAAATTTAATTTGACGAAAGAAATAAAAGAAGAAAAGAAGTAGACGAATGTGTTGGAAAAATAAACTCATCGTCCTCTTGGTGGACGCTTTCGACAGAGTGGAACGATCGCTTTTTTAAAAAGAAACAGTCACGTTCCGACTGTCTCCGAGAACGTCTCGGAAGAGAATGTCAAGGTACCGCTTTGTAGTCGTTATGTTCATTACCCTGAGAGACACGCCTACGCAACACCTGAATACCGATTTTCCTTTCGGCCTACGCATATCAAAACAAAGCTCTTAACTAATATATATATATTTCTTTTCTTGTATTCTCCCACAATTTTCTTTCACATTTCTTGTATTCTCCCACAATTTTCTTTCACATTTCTTGCACATTTTTCTCATATCATTTTTCTTTCTATTATCAAATTCATGCATTTTTATATGAAATTGGTTAAATATTCCTTCTCATTAATTCGGAAAGACAAAATTGTAATTAACACAAATTTGAATGAAATGGAATCAAATGATTTTTTCCAACAATTAATATTGAAATTAATCAAATTTCAATGAAACAAATTTAACGAAAATTCTATTATTATTGATCATTGAAGAAACATCGATAGAAGATTTATTTCAAATTTCCTACTTGTTTCTACATTTTTCTAATAAAAATTCAACGACGATATCACTTTTCTCAATTTCATTTTTGATAAACTCGTATAAAAATCATACGACGAAAATTACTACTAATAGAAATGAAAATAAGAAAATCCCATGAAATGTAAGAAAAAAAAAAGAAAAAAAATGTAAGAGGTAAAAAGTGAAAGAGAGAGAGAGAGAGAGAGGGATTATTTTGAAATATTCAGCAAATAAATGGAGCATCATAATTTATCAGAAAACGCGTGCATAAAAAGAACAATGAAAGGCCTCAGAGGGCCGACATGCGATTCTCAAAAGCAGTTTTTTCAGTAGTGAGCAAGGAGGAGGATGAGGATCGTTCGCGGCCAATGACTCGGGACAAACAGTAGAAGCTTTATAGTGTCGACATACGTCGCTTTTAAACGAGATCTCATTGAGCGCTCAGTGAACTTTATAGGTATATGATCAGCGATCCATGTGAATGGAGAAAACCCTTTGGACCTCGATGGGTCCATCTCTGTTATCTGTATGCATATGTTTACGTATACGTATGTCTATGTAGAATCCTCGATATCGATAACGCTCGAGCGCTTGCTTTTCGGTTCACCTCGATTCATTATATCAACGTGAAGCGTGAAAATAAAGTAAAGGAAGAAAAAGAAGAAGAAAAAAGAAGAAGAAGAATAAATAAATAAACTAGATAAATAAAAAAAAGAAAAAGGGATGGATATAAATATTTATATTTATGCCACGTGGGTAGTTTAACGTGGGCTTTTTAATAACATATAATCGCTGTGATTTTTTTTCTTTTTTTTATATATATATATATATATATAAAATATAAATGTTACTTTACGCAGGAGGAGGGCCTACGAAAATTAACATACATTTTTCTGTCGAAAAGAACGAAACATAGGAAGATTTGATCGAAAAAGAAATCTTTCGGAAGTCTTTCCTGATTTCGACTCGAAGACGTTACGAAATATATCCATCCATCTAAAGAATTATTTTTTCAAGGGTTTAAACTAATCTGTTCCCAGGAGAAACGGATGTCTCAAATAAAGCGTGAATCGTAAGAGACAGGACGAAATTATATCGAGTATAAAAAGGCGTGGGTGGTGTTGATACACCTACTTACATTTTCCTATCGGTATTTTTAGTCCCACTGCAAGAATAAGAATCATCCTTAGAAAGCCCCGACACGATAAAACGAAATAAAAAAATTAAGGAAATAAATGTAATTTTCTATATACGACGTCTAAGGCTACTACAACCAATTATTGTAAGACGATGATCGAATTAATTCTTCGAATTGTCTCGACAAATTATTGCATACCATTATATGCCTATTATCTCTAACGAATGCTTTCAAAAGCGAATAATAAATCCACCCTCTCTGTGGGAAAAAAAAGAAGCATAAATAAAATAAGTATACACAATGATCGGATTAACCAAATGACGAAATTATTTCTAAGAAAACATTGAAATAGAATCAAATTCAAGGAGAAACAAATATTTAATTATTCTCTCTTTTTTATTCATCTTAAGATACAAAATTCAATTCGACCGAATTATCTGTAACTCCTATCTTAAATATTTTTTAAAGAAACAAATAATGCCCGAATTCAACGACAATAATATTTCTATCTCGTAAAATTAAAAAAGAATAATTATTTATTAATCTCTTTTTTTTTTTATTTATTTATTCAAACATCTAAAAGTGTTAATTTATAACATATAAGGTATTCATTATCGCCGTTATAAAAATTCGACAATAAAAATATCATCGAGTATTCTCCCGAAAAGGATATTTCGATGTTGCCCACGCAAACGAATGAATCTTCGAAAGCCAATCGGCGTCGAGGAATTTCACGCAAGTGCGTGCGCCCTTCCGAAAGCTCGCAAGCACACCATAGAAGAAGGATGAATGGAACCTTCAAATCCAGTCAGTTCTACGCTCGTCCTACGAGTCGTGCAGACGCGTTAGCATTTAGCCTTTTTTTATCGTGACACCAAAAAGTGTACCTGTATATATATATATATATATACATATATATATATATATATACACAAATATTTGTATTATATGTACAAATTAATTTATATTTTTATCAAGAAAAATTTTATTCTCAATTTTCTTCGACGTTTTTCTTTCGAATTTAAACGAACTTACATTTGCAACGAAAACATGTTCGGTGGCTCAACGTCAAATTCACAGTCGACGGTACGCCGAAAGCAGTTAACTGTCGCATTTCGGTATCGATCGAATGGAAATCAAACTTAGAATGACAACCACTGGCCTTCTCTCTACCTCTATCTATATACGTAAGAATATCATTCGGAGTTTTTAATCTTTTCTACATGCAAATACACTAATATTGGCATCTACATTAAGAAAAATGATCATCGTTGTTTCCTATTGATTTCATTTTTAAGAGACGAAAGATTATTAATTAAATGTAAAGAATAAAAAACAAAACAAAGGGGTAAGAAGAGAAAGAGCAAAATGAATCAATAATAAAACGAAAGAAGAAGAAGAAAAAAAGAATTTTATATGAATTATATAAATTCGTAGAAGATACGCTTAAAATAGAAAAAGAAGAAACAAATATTTTTTGATACATTTTTTGAAACGCTAAACTGTCTCCAACTCGTTTTCGTATGCGCATGATCATTTGATAATATTATTATTATTAATAATAATGATGATGATGATGAAGATGATGATGATGATGATGATGATGATGATGATGATGATGACGATGATAAAAGTACGTGTACGAACGAACAGGCAATAGCTGCATTAATATATTTATAGTAAATTATATGTATATACATACATATTGTACATATATGATGTACATATACGTACTACTTACGTATGCACGATACAATAGAAACGGAGATATCACTAGAGTCAGATTCAGTTCTGTCGGGTAGTTTATTGATTTTTTTTACCTACTCCGACAATGATAGTCGGTTAGCATTGTTGTGTTGTGAATAACAACCAGAGAGCAATGAGTATATCAAATAGCGCATATGCAACCAACAATGCTCTATCTCCCTATATTTTATTATATAAATAATAAATAATATTTATATAATATCAATAATAATAATATTAATTTGTTACGAACGAACGAGTGGAAATAATATTCTCAATGTATTAACAAATTTTTATATCTAAAATATATTATAAATATTCGCTTTTGCGTTATATTCGATAAAATCAATAATAATTAAATAAAAATGGGAGAACTTGCAATTCGAAGAAGAATAATAAAATGCAAAGAGTAAAATACGAATTAGATTGGATTAAATTCGAATTGAAAGAATTGATCGTAAAAGCGGAAAAGGAATAATTTTGGTATACATGCAAGGACAACGTAAATTATAAATATCGCCAGTTGAGACTAGCGCACAGGAAACACGGAGATAAATGAGCATAGACTGGAAAAAGAGCGGATTCGACAGAGCGAATATATTGGATTCCGGACACATGGCACAGGGACGAATGAATAGCATCCGGTTTTCTGAATCACCGAGATATTCTTGAGGAATACGTAAGGCAGAAGTTTTGAATTTTCATAAATCGTGGAAACTAAAGTGATTTTTCAGATCGAGATCAAATAATTGCGTTGTAAATTTTTATTCTACGAAATTAAATGGGCGAATATTTAATTTTCGATTTTATTAAAAATTAAAGGAGAAGAAAATAAATGAATAAAAAGAATAAAAAAGAATAAGAAACAAGGAAGAGAAATTAAGAAGGAACGAGCAAGGAAGACCAATAAACTTTCGAATTTTGGATTAGAAAGAAATACGAGCAAAGTTCTAAATTTGAATCACTATGAGACAATGCGTGGACGCTATTCTCTTACACGGTAACCAAATCTTATGTTAAATCGTATAATTGAGTCATCTTCGATATAGGAAAGGTGTCCCTATAATTTGAACATTCTTTGTTCGCCATAAAAGATTGACGTCATATAAAGTATTACATAGAAAAATGATTACTCATTTTAATTACTCATTATTTTCTTATTTCTCAACCTTGCGTGTAAGTAAATATATGAGTATGTACATACATGAATGCATACATAGTTGCATACATAGTTGCATACATAGTACAGAATGTATGACGAGGTACGTCTCGTAAGAGAAAGAGAAAATAAAAGAAAAAAGAACGAGTAACGGAAAAGATCGACCTTGAAAGTCCACCTTCTTCAGTGGACGTTCGCACGAACCTGTTCCGGAAAGGTGCATTACTATCGTTTATTCGCACGTGCTTGACGTTCATTCACATCGTCCCCTCCCGCCAAATTCTCGATACTTGTAGTAAACTCGTGTCGTGATTGGTCGGCGTTAATGCCACGCGTTTGTCATGATTGGTTACGGCACGTTACCTCGTCGTTGAGTGAGCCGAGCGTACGAATAGAGCCGAGGGAAACCGAGACGAGCCGAAGCGCAGGTCAGGACTCATTTGATCGCGTCTTCGCAACAGTTCGAATACGGAGCTTGCGCAGGAAGGTTTGCGTTAGATTGTTTTCATATATTTAACATGGCGATTTTGACGTGCAATCAACCGCTAGTTTTAAATCACAAAGTGCACTTAAGTGTCAACCAAATGTTCCTCATCGTTCTAACTTATGTACCTTTTATTCAAGGTATTTACAGTGTTTTCAATCATTTCTATCTCGTTCTTTTTTTTCTTCATTATTTTATCATTTACTTCCTTCCGTACTTACACATGACAACATTATGTACCTAACGGCAAACAGGATGTACTTTGTTTGTGAGGGTTTCCTATTTGTATGAATATATGTGTTGTGTATATTTTCTCACGTGAAAGGCGCCCGTGTATCAACGCGAATGAGGATGCGCGGTTATGCATCTCTCTCTTACTCTTTTTTTCTCTTTCTTTCTCTCTCCCTTCTCTCTCTTTGACCGAGTTTGTATTTGTGACTGAACGATGCTCTTCATCCACTTGTCACATGCAGTGCTTTCATTGGCGTAGACTGCATCTGCTCATTACCGTGCTACTATACTAAACTCTCTTTTCTCTTTCCCCACTCTCATTCTTTAAAATCTTCCTAATACATCGTTCATAAATATTTAACTTGTGATATTTACATTCTGTTTACGAACAGAACTATTTTATGTTAGTCATTGTTATTTGTTGTTTTATTTCTTTTCTTTTTTAATTTTCTTCCAACTGTTATTTTATATACAGACTACTGCTCGTTAAATTGTATTCTTTAAGATGCCATGATTGGGTCAATATTTACGTCTTCGTTTGCATAAGAAAATAGATCAAAAAATCAAGCAATCATTACAATATTATTTGATGTTTTTCTCTTGTATCCTAATACATATTCAATGTTATCATTTTCATAGAACTTCTATGCTAGTTTTGAAATACTAAAATAATGAGAATTTTTAATTATAAAATATATTGTTTTATCAAATACCATGAGAAGTATCTGAAATTTAATTCAGTATGTTATCATTGTTGTTATAGGAGGTACAGGAATATCGTTGAATCATCAATATGTAAATGATGCGGATCAATATGACACTTCGATCAACAATGATAATACAAAACATTTGGAGAAATTCTACTTAATTACAGAACGAAGGTGGCACACAGATACGGTGCTACCAATTTCTTTACTACCGTCTACCGAGGGAATGTCTGCTCGATCTCATCATAGGTATAAGATATAGACTTCTTCTCTACATTATTTGAATGATGTTAGAAGAATATATAAAATTTGTTTTTTATGGTATAGGATCCGGCAGTCCACTAAGGGACTGGATGATTCTGGTATGGACTTGCAAGCAGCTCAATTCAGTACCCGTATAGGTCAGGAGGTTCGCTCTAGTGCTACTCTATCATGGCTAGATTGGCAATTGCCTCTTTTTATAGCACTTTGTGCCATTGCCTGTGTTATTTTATTTACATTTTTGGTAAGACATTGTTATTTAAAGCATTCTGATACTTACATCTATATTTTTCTTTTGATTATTTCATTTAATAGCATAACAAAACTTCTTTACATTAGAAAAGAAATATCAATAGAAATATTTATTGTGTAATAGATCTTGTTATGGCTACGGAAACAAATGTCGCGTGAAAAAGATACCGAAGATGGTGACAGGAGAGGTCTAGTAGAGGAAGGATTGGTTGGCCGTACAGATAAAACTGGCAAAGGTACTAAAAGTTCAGTGGAAGCGCAATGGGTTCCTCAATCTGTAGCCAAACCATTGGAATCTACTCAAAAAGCGAAACCATCTACAACAGTTGCTTCTGGTTTACCAGAAATAATGGCCGTGACCACGCCAGAACGAAAAATAGAACCAATTCGTGTGAAACCTAAGGGATTATTAGAACGTCGTAGTTCAAGTGCAAGTTTGACTATAGAACTAGCACCAGCACCGACACCCGAAAATCCACCACACATGGTCACTCCAACTCGTGAATGTACGACGGAAGAATTTTTACTGAGCGCTGGAAATGTCTTATCCAGAGCTCAATTGAAAAAAACATTGAACGATCCGACATCGCTGCAGAAAGAATTTTGGGAAGTACCGTTGAACCATCCCAAAAAAGTTGATATATGTGGAGCTGGTGTAAAAAATAGATATTGCACTGTATTACCTAATCCGCAATCTCGAGTAATTTTACCGGGTTCTTCTGACGATCCACTTTCTAGTTACATAAACGCCAATTATATCAGGGTAAGTAAAAGATAAAATATTCTACGCTCGTTCCAAAAGGTCATGTTTCATCATGAAATGACACGTATGATGTAATTCGTATAATATTTTCTAATTAATAGGGATACGATGGAGAAGATGCTCGCTATATCGCAACGCAAGGACCATTAACTCATACGATAGGAGATTTCTGGCAAATGATTTGGGCAGAAAAAGTTCCCGTGATTGTCATGATGACAAGATTACACGAAGCTGCCAAAACAAAATGTGATATCTACTTTCCTGTAGATAAAAATAATCGTTTGCGAGCTGGTCCTTTCACGATTATAGTTAACTCTATAACTAACAAAGATGGTTATACTGTTAGAGATTTGGAAATTAGATACGAAGGGGAAAAACGCCACGTACAGCATTACTGGTAATTTATATTATTCCAAGTTAAAATGAAACGTAATATTGTTTATTATCAAGAAAATAAATCATATAAAAACTAATTGATTTTGATAGGTATGATTCATGGCCGGATCATGCTGTACCTCAAGCAGCAGATGCGCTTGTTAATTTAGCTGCAGAAATAAATGCTCTATCTGGACCTGTAGTGGTACATTGTAGTGCAGGTATTGGACGCACTGGATGTTTTATAGCACTAGCAATAGGAATGACACAACTCTTAAGAAATGATAACGTTGATGTACTAGGTATTCTATGTCAAATGAGGTGAGCCTTTTTAAAATTTCATTATTCGTTTGATTTATATTCGATTTATTTATCAAATCGTTGACATTCATAATACCATAATTAATATTCAAGGTATGACAGAGGAGGTATGATTCAAACTGCTGAACAATACGAATTTGTTCATCGAGCCCTTTGTCTATTTGAACAAACTCTTGAGGGCAGATTATCTATATCAAGGGAATAATGTTGCTACGAATAATAATTATTTTAAAAGCAAGTACTGTTGCCTACAACACAATCCACTTTCGTCCAGATATTCCATTAAAACAAAAGATACTTTTAAATGAATCTCTGTGTCAGCATTGGAGGTAAGAAAAGGAGGTCTTAACTATTTCAATACTTTAATGAAATTCGCCTCATCTAATATGCTGCCATTCTATACTGCCATGACAAATCGTTGATAATTGATATGAATCGCGTATAAATTTTCTCAAAGAATTATCATTTTAATCATTTATCCCAAAACAAAAAAAGAGAGAAAGAAAAAAAGAAAAGCAATTTTATGCAACATTATAAAAAATCAAAGTAAAAAGCCATTTTGTGCTCCAGCACTGATTGTGTGGAACATATTTGTACAAAAAAAAAAA